GCAAAATCATTATGAAGCCATAGAAATGCAAAACTATTATGAAGCCACAGAAATGTAAAAACGTTGAGATGCCATAGAAATGCGAATTATTCAAATATTTTTCTACAATTATTCTAGAAAAATTTCAACTTGAATATCTTGTGAACTTTTACACTTCTTGCACTGCACAGTGCAATATATGTATTTTTGGATGAGCAATAGGAAATTTATTAATAGTTTTATACCTAGACTGGAGGATAGGCACGGCCGAGAAATGTTTAATGATAAATATTAATATTTCATAATACTGATATAATAATATAAATAATATTTTATTGGTAATGACTTCTAAAATAATGGATCAAAAGTTGTTATCGATGAGTTATTATCTTAATTAGATCATTTTTTATTTTATAAGCTAGATTTATATGTATGTTGTTATTCAAAAAATTAAATTGATACCCTTATCATAATTTGGTATCTTGACGTGTTGACCGACAATATTGGGCTGGTTGAAGCTCAATATATAATATAAAAGCAAAAATATGTATATATAGAGTCTAACAGATTTAACTGACTGAACTCATAGCTTTTGATTCACTTAACATTTCGCTGTAATTTTTTTTTTAATAATTTATGCATTCTTAGACTACATTAAAATTTTCTTTTATCTTTGATGCGTAGCTTAGTTCTATTCTACCGTGTTTTTTTATGAAATACATAATTACTCTACTCCTACTGGATTTTGCTCAAAAATACCTCAAAAGATCAAAAAATGTCCCTTAAGCACCATTATTTTGAAAATGTTCTCAATCCCTATAATTATAAAAGAAAATGTTCCAAAAAAATTATTGTTATAATAAAACATTTAATGTTTATACTTTTAGTTTATCCTTTTTATTGAAATAACTTCTTGAAGTGCAAAAACAAAACTTTTTAATAAATTGACTATTGATTGTTTGGTATGTGGCAGGAGATATTCTTCTTATAATATCTTATCATAAAAAATCTCAAAAATTCTAATCTTTTTACATATTAACCTTTACTGTTTAATCATTTAAATGATTAAAGTTATATTTTTTCAGTTAAAACAAATATATTTATTTTAGGTTATTTTATATAAGTTAGAATCAAGCCCATGCGTAAGGGGGGCTTTTTGCGGTTCAACCCCCCTATGACCGAAAAAATATATATCATGTTTTTCATTTTTGATCGATTATATTAGATATTTTTTTGGGACAGAAGTCTTGTGCTCTAGTAATAAAATAATAATACATAACATAATATCACACCACTATTACTGTGTTATTCACGTTTTTGGTGTTTATCGACTTTCGTTAAAGACGTTATCGATAAAATATAATGACCACGACGACGACTTGAAGAATACGAGTACGACATGACGTAACGGAAGTTACGTATTTTAAAAGTTGTTCATAATTATGTTAAAGACGTTAGTTATACAAACACGGTGTTTGCAATATCATCGAAATAGACATTTGAAAATTTAAAAAAAAAAGCCACGGCAAGAAAATGATGAGATAGTAAGCGTATTGAAATTAACTATAATAATTAAAAATACTCAATTAATCTAATTAGTTTTCAAGTTTTATTTATAGGAAACTAGTTTTAATAACCTTTTAAATTAACTGAACCAGCAGAAAAAGCATCTCCATAAACAAATAACTCAGTGTCAATTCCAAACTTTGTGTACCCTCATGATACAGAGTTATATGTGAATAAACCTACAACTGAAAGTATTGACTTGATACTGGGACTTCATATTTTGATATGAATACCTCCAGAAAACTACCAATTTCTTATTTTCGAAAAAACAAATTTTAAAGAAAAGACGTTGGTTGTGTCAAATATAAATGGTTGGCTTATCCAGCAATTATGAATGACGAATTTTGTAAGTATTGTATATTGTTTTCTGTACGAGGTGGACAAATTGGACATCAAACGTTGGGGCAGCTTGTTAAAAAAACACTTACCAACTGATAAAAAGCTTTAGAATCATTTAGTTATCATAACTCACTTAAGTATCATAAAACTTCTTTATTAAAATCAAATATGAGAACAAAAATTGATAATAAAAACATTTTATCAGTTGACTCACAAATTTCATTAATGAAAATAAAAAATGTTTGATTTTTACCATCGAAACTTTAATATTATGTGGTCGGCAAAGTTTGGCCCTTTATGGTTCAAATGATTCAAGCAGAGTAACTTCCGAAGAACCTATAACTAACGATGGTAATTTTCGGGCTCTTTTAAGATATCGAGCAAAAACTGATGAAGAGCTTAATAATTTTTTACAAAATTCACTAAAAACGCAATGTACATTAGTAACCTTGTTAAAAAAAAATTTATCGTCATATTTCATAATTTGATTCAAAAATATATTATTGAACGTGTCAATAAATCTTGAGCTTTTTCTATAACAGCAAATGAAACTTCAGATATATCCGGCATAGAACAACTTTAAATCAGGTATTTAGATTATAAGGACGATAATTATAAAATATGTGAATATTTTTTAAGCTTTATACCTGTTGAAGATGTAACAAGGAAAGGTTAAAAAATGCTACTTTGAATTTTCTTGAATATTCTGGAATAGATTGTACGTATTTATTTGGACAAGGTTATGGTGGGACTAGTACTATGAGTAGTGAATTTCACGGATCTTTATTAAAGAAAAATATAATTTACCTCTATACTCACATTGTGCTGTCCATAGATTCAATTTAGCAGTTAGTGCCGCATGTAGTATCCCTCAAGTCAAAAACTGTCATTGTACAGTCCAATCAATTTATAACTTTCTTAATATCCCAAAAAGGCAAATTGCCCTTCAGGATGTAATAAAAAATAATGACACTTTGTTACAAGAAAAAAAAACTTAAACAATATTGTGTAACAAGGTGGGTATTACAGTATGATTCAATTGAAACTTGTATATACTTACAACCAGTAGTTATTGATGCCTTAGAAAATATTTCGAGTACTTGGACAAATTCAAAAACAACATCCGAATCTTTTCAACTACTATCAGCAATAAAAACATTAGAATTTCAATATTCAATTCACGTTTTGTATTCAGTACATGCATTGTCTTTATCATTGAGTAGAGTTTTACAAACAGAGAATCAATATTTGGTTGATATCGTTAAGTTGGCAGATGCAGCAAATCACGAACTTGAGGAAAGAAGGCAATATTCGACAGATAACTTCAACACAATTTTGTAACTGTAAAAGATATTACAATAAATACAATATACCTATGACTAAACCTAGACTTGCCTCACGTCAAATTAACCGTTCTAACATTATAACTGAATCTGTAGCAGATTTTTATAAAATCATTATTTACATACCATACCTTGATTTATTCATTACTCATCTTCAAGATCGCATCCTCGAGCATCGTTATATTTTGTCAAACTTCTCATGTCTTTTTTCTATTGAAACAAAATCTTTAGACAAAGATTCTTATAAAAAGTTATTTGAAACTTATTGTTTAATTTTACACGACGATTCCCCAGAAATTAGGATAAGTGAGGTAGACATTTGGTGACGACGACAAGCTGGTAAAAATATTCGAAACATCCTCGATGTCCTCGATATTTTTAATTCAGATGCATTTCTAAATTTTCATAAAATGTCACGTGTAATGTCAGTTTTGCATGTGACTAATGAAAGGTCATTTTCAATATCACATCAGCTTAAGACCTATTTAAGGTCATCTATGGGTGTGAAGATCGTTTAAACAGACTGGCTTCGTTGAATATCCATTGTGACATAAACGTGTATGTCAACGAAGTATTAAACGAATTCTTTTCTACTCATCGTAGAATAAATTTATTAAAAAAATAATTTTTAATTTTATAGTACCAATAAGACCTTCAAAATTTAGAAAACAACGCATTTTCAATTTTGTTTCTATGTATTAAATACATTTATATTTATAAATAATAAAATTATTTTCATATGATTTATTTATAATATAAATATAGATGTATCTATTTTATATATTATTTTCCAATCCCCCCCCTTTTGAAATCCTGCACGCGGGCCTGGTAAGAACTATGCTTATTTTTTATTTATTTTCTTGAAAAACTTTTAGGGGACTGTTATAAAATGTAAAGCAATACTGTTTGACTAATGTCTAATGGTTTGTATTGTGTAACCATAGAAATGCGATTCTAGACGATACGATTTTACCGTTATTTCGGCAAAGTCTCTCGTCTTTCTCAAGCGTCTAAGTCTGATTCATATCATTAACTACGAAAACTCAAATTTTTTTCTGTTTATTTTAGCACTAGTGTATAGAAAGAATTCTTAATTAATATAAAAGTTATTAGAATTCTTGTTGTTTTATCGGACATTTTTTCAGTCGAATTAAAAAATCGCTGTAACGATAAAGACGTCGTCAATGTTTTTTTTTTATTACGAAGTTTGTTGATAAATAGAAAATATCGTTCATGTGATGTTTCAGTAATAACTGCTTTAGTGCACATTCTGAAAATAGCTGTTTCTTATAACTCTTTTTATAATATCATTTAAATAGTATAAAATGAAATTTGTAAAAAAAAGATCTATATGAATAGACAAAAAATATCGCACGCCGAAATTATGTGTTATTCTCTTTTTCCTACAGGAAATAAATCTTTTGTAATCACCGTGACTTTATATGAAAAAAAATGCTAGTTATCTAACAAGATTTTTAAATAAAAAGTTATCTTTCCTATATTATTTTCGAATAGTGTTCGCATACTTGGGTTTTTGTTACAAAATTGTTTCAGTTTCTATATTTTGTCAATTGATTATTGAACTCGATAACAAAAAATTCGCGTCAATATGTTTGCTAATAAATTCGAAATGAAATTTCGTTCCGAAAGAACTGAACTACTAATTACATACTAACCAGATGCACAGGTTATGACGAAAGATAGCGCGAGTCGTCCGATAGAAGGCGCGCACTACCCCATTTTGTGACCAAACAAATGACGGCGTCGACCGATGAGGAGGATAGCAATCCACGTTGGATGAAACGGTTTAAAAGTGGTAGACGTCGGGGCGCCTTTATCCTTTGCGGTTTGATGACGTGAACACGATACGCGAGTGAGAATTCTTTACCTTCTGAGCGGAAGTATAATTTGATTAAGGTGAGATTTTTCTCGGCTTTTGACCGTCTTATTAAGAACAAATCTATCGACACATCTCTAAGCGGGTAAGTTTAAAAATAATAAACAATTTTGTTAAAATGTTTACAAAATAAAACAATGGATTTCAAAAGCTTTTGAATTTAAAAAATATGGTAAAAATATTTATAATTTATTTAAAACTTATAACGTTCAATTTTTATGCGTCAAATTCCAAAATATCTTGATTTATTTTAATAGTTTTTTTATCTTTTAAATAAATGATTCAAGTTTATGGCTAATTGCACATAAAAGCTTCGAAAAAACTGTCACTTTTCTCATGTTCTTTGAAATAATATTCATGTTGTATAGCTTACAATTACGTGTTCCTGAACCTAGCTGAATGATAATAAATGAAGGTAAAAAGGGACAAATTTTCTATTGAATCGCTTTTTTGTGTTAATTTACACCCACGCTTTAGCAATCAAATTCAAAAGCATACACCCTAAAATTAAATACATGTATACTACAAGGCCTAATGTACACCTCAAAAAATTTTCATTTAAACAATTTAATATTTATTCAAATCGATATTATATTTTTTTCTAAATTATCAACATATATAAATGATTAAAATTAAAATATCATTTAGAATAATTTATGCTTAAAACTTTTAAGGATAATAATAAAATAGTTCTATTTTCTTAATTGCTTAAAAGTGTCATTACTTATATAAATAATTATTAATTAAACTGTTGTATAAAATTAATGAGTAATTATTGTGAGGTAAAAAATCGAACCCATGTTTACAAGAGTACATATTTTTACATAATTTCAGTTAATAATCAAATAATTGAAATGTTACATTTTTTTTGTTTTTATTTAACAATAGAATAACTTTTAAGTTTCACTAATACTTCTATTACTGCTATTATAGATTCTTTCATTAGTGACAATTTACAATTTAAACTGAGTAATACCCTTTTTTAAGTTGAAAACAAATACGTTTGCTTTAATTTAATAAACATTAGTAACAAATGCACACATTAAGAAAAATAAGAGCTTTTAAATGTTCATAGGAACGATTCTATGTGACCACTAACACAAACATGTGAATGTATTTAAGCCTTTAAGGTTACGTGGGTTAATTTAGTAACCGCCTTTTCTTAATTTTATTGCAAAAACTGACAATTTTATTACTATTTCTATACTTCTGCTGGTTTACTTTTAGTGTGCAAAATACATACACATTGTTCTCTCAACTGAGAATTAAAGTGTTGTTATTAAAGAGGATAGGAAACAAATACAACTAATTTCAAAAGAACCTGATATTAAACAACAATATATTTATGTATATAGATAAAATGATTTTACATACATATATATATGTTTTATAAATGTTGGGTAATAAACAATAATTTTAACTGATTTATATCTGTATGAATTTATGAAAATTTAGTTTAAATATAATTTTTAATTCTATTAAAAAACCTAAAATTGTTTTCCGTGTTTATGTTTATCTATTATTTATCAATCGTACGTACAATAAAAAAAATCAAACTTTTCCCTCATAATATACAAAAACGAATAAATAAAAGCGTACTATTATTGGCATCTTTTGTATAATACTTGACTACATTTTTTTACTACACGCATTTCAAGCTGAATTTCATTACAAGTGAAAGCTGGTTTTGTTTATCCGTAAAATGTATGTATATTTTTTTACACATATATATATAAATTTCAGATATTTGAATATTTGAGTACTTTGAACAATAATATTATACGCAAACGATAATTTCATTTGGATAGAATTAAAATAGTTTTTATTATCAAAAATTACTAGAAAAATTATTTTAATAGGGACGTAGTTTATGCTTTTACACATTTACATATAAATAAATAATTTAAGTTGAATGAATTGTTGTTTATTAAAAACATTAATTATATTTAAATTTATAATTAATAGTTTACTATCTTAATTTAATTTAAACTTATTAGTATAGTAAAAGGAATGTTGTAGAAACATTTAAAAAAAATGTCTATTAAAATGTGAGACTTAAGAAAATCTATACAGTAACTTAAATTAGTCATTCAAACCTTCATTGTAGTACATTCAATTTGTATTTCGACTATCTTAACCAATATCAGTTTCGCAGTTTTCCGTGAGTGCATTTTTCTTTAAAGCAAACAGTACGATTTTTTCTCAAAATGTTACAAACAATATTTTTTGTCTAGAAAAATAAACGATGCTATCATCTGTATATTTCAACAGCAGTTGTTGATGATCTCACTCATCGCTTTGATTCTCTCACACGCCACAAATTACAAACGTCTAAAAGTTCCTATCGTACATAACTCTTATACACGATTTTGTAAAGGTTAAGAGACTATATTACAATGTAAAATCTATAATATTTGAGTAAATTGATCTTTGAATGCTTTTTTATATTAAGATAACGCTTACTCGTGTTTGTGAGTTTACCTCCTTGATGTATTATTTTACAAAAACCAAAAAGATAAATTACTTAATTTTTGAATGTAACGATTTTACTTTTGTTGTATCAAAAAAATGTATTCATTTGGAGCAATGAAAATTTAAAGAGATCGTATTATTTTGTTATAAGCTCAATACACAATAGAGTCGTTATTTGAGTAGTCCAATTAAAAGAATTTTTAATTGCATCTAAAAGGAATATGAAAAGTGATTAGAAAGTAACGAAAATTTTTTTTTTTTTTTTTTTTTTAATATTTATTTATTTGTCTACATTAATGTTGTCACCTTTAAAAAAGTCTTTATTAGATATAATGCAATTGTGCCAATGCTTTTTCAAATCCTCAAAATACTGCTCAAATTTGATCTTTGGAATAGCCTTTTGGTCATTCAGCGATGCGCTTTCAATGTCATCTAAGCTTGTAAAACCTTAAAGGGCGTTCCCTTTAACAAACAAACAATGAAGAGTGAGCAGGTGCATTAACGTGGTACAAAAGCTATGAATTATTTTGCCACTAATCCAGGGTTTTTCGGATTCCTCGATGAACTCGTAGGTAGTACTCCTTATTGACCGTTTGACATCGTGACAAGAATTCATGATACCATTAAAATCGAAGAATACAGTGAGCATAACCTTCACGTTCAATTGCACTTGTCGAGACTTCTTCGGTCTTGACTATCCAAAATGCCTACACTGGGACGATTGAGCCTTAGTTTCAATATCGTATCCATAAACCCATGTTTCGTCACCTGTTATAACACGTTTCATTAATTCTGCATTGTTGTCGACTTCATTAATTGACTCCTGAGAAATTTCCATTTGCCCTTTTTTTTGTTCAAAATTCAATAATTTTGGAATAATTCTTTCTGTTACGCGTCTCATACCCAAAATATTCGAAAAAATTTCATGGCATAAGCCAATCGATATTCAAAAATCATCAGCGACTTCTCTAATTGTGATTCGGCGATCGTTCATAACCATTACTTTTACTTTTTCTAAGTTTTTATCGGTTGTTGATGTGTTAGGGCATTCGTCATCTTCAACGTCTTCATGCCCATCTTGGAAACGCTTATACCCTCATAATCCTTTTGTGTTACTCGTGGCAGACTTACCATAGGTCTTTGTTAACATTTTACACACTTTGTTACATTATATTTCATTTTTAATGCAAAATTTGATACAAATTCTTCGATCAATTTTTTTTAACAAACGAAAATCGTCAAGCTCATAAAAACATGTTTAATCTTAACGGTTGCCACTGACAAAGTAAAAATAAGTCCAGCTAAAAATTTTATCATACTTCAGGGACATTATATAAAAAAAAAATTTGATAATTGGGCTCTCCAAACCCACGAATTTTAAAAATCCCGTTATTTTCTGAACACATCTCCTATGTATAAAAAATTAAGGAAAGCAGATCTACCCTTTTTTCAAAATATAAAATTATGATAAGTAAATTTATAAAAATTTTATTCAGTAATAAAGGTAAAAGTTATTATCTTTATCATTTATAATAGTTTTAGTTAGATTTTTCATTAAAAAAAATATTATTTTTAAATAATAATATTAATAATATAATATTGCTTGTAAAATGATTGTTGATTCGTTTAAGATTTTTTTTTAAATCAGCTTTAATATTTCAGAATTTATACAGAATAAATTTTATTAATTTTTAAACCTTCAAAAATCTTTTAAAATCTATACTCTCAGTTGAGCACTTTATGAAAAATATTATTCTTATATATTACTTTTTAAATAAAATATAATATTAATATTATAAAGTAATATTGATTTTATATATCCATATATATATATACTCTATTGAATTTTTACATAAATGTTTAATTTTTAAGTACAATTTCAGTTGAAACAAAGGTTGTCAACTTAAGATTGGTTATTAAGATTAAATACTTAAATTGCATTAGAATTTCCATATTTTGTTCGCTTATAGAAATATAACACGAACATAAAAATCATTTTTTTATTTTAAGTGCATTAATTATATTAAGACTTGGGCTAGGGACTGAAAAAATGTCGGTTTTTGAAAATTTTTCTGATACCAAGTAAATAATTTCATCTATATCGAATTTTTTTTTTAATTTATTGAAAAATGATGATAAAAAACAAAAATATTATGAGATTAACTTTGAAGGCTTAATTAAACTCAAGGTTACATTAAAAAGTTAAATTTAAGTTTGGTTAAGGTTGTAAAAGTGATTTCATAACATTTTCAGATTTGACAATTATTAACCTTATAAATTCTTAAAAAAATTTAATTTTCGTTAAATAACTTACTAGATATGTTAAAAATTGAAAAACTGATTGTTTCCTAAACCTGATCAAGTTATTGAAAAACAACGTATTATAAACGCGTAGTTTTTTGGTAAAATAAATGTTTTATTTTAATATGAATCTGTTGATTCAAAAGGTTAACGTTTTTAAATTATCAACAAAATAGATATTGAGAAAAGTTAACGATACAAATAATCGTATTTGTAAATCTAAGTATGAAAATCTCAAAAAAACAGCTGCCAAACATAGAAGATAACAATATAGTTACGAAATAGACATCATAGTTTACTGTTGTGTCTATT